CAAGAATCTCAGAAGGTGTTAGTTCCTACTTCATCAGCATTCTGCAATAACAGAAGATTGTCAGGTAGTGTTTAAATACCTTTGAATATAATTTAGTTCTATATGGAAAAGCTAAGAACTAAACTTTACTTTTCGGAAATTTCGATTTAGATATGGTTTCAAAGTTTCTTTTAGTTCGGACCGTAGAGAAAACTTCACTTTTTAACAATTTTTTTTTTCCCGCTTTCTACATCGTTTTTATATCACGATTTATATCATTGTTATATTACCCACAACTAATTTTTTAACCACTCATTTGGCTTAAAATTATCTGGTTTTATTACAATATTTATTTAGTCTTATTGCTATATTTATTAATATATTACTTATCTCCTGATTTTCATATTATTACTGTTTACAGAAACTTTCATGTTATATTATCTTGCATTCATTACTCAGCTTTGTTTTAATTTTCACATGCACAATTTTTATCTTTATTATTATTCAGAGAATATTTTTATATCCTTCATTTAATGTTTACATATATGTCGCTTACATTTTTAAGGTTTTTGTGCAACGTTCTTTTTCGCTATCATATATTATTCTCTGATTGTTATGATTTTGGGTTTCGCGGGTTACTCATTTTCCTACACTTTTGATTGGTTATCATATTTCGAATGAGGTATCTATGACAGCGTTAGAGTTTATTAAAGGGTATTGTTTTGTTTATTAAAAAAAAAAATTTTAATGAGGTATACTGCTTTCTGAATATCTTTGGCTTGTTTATGCTAATAATACCTATTTGGTTTTATTTCTTAAAATAAATTGATTAATATTTTTATGTTTCTATTAGAATTTTAATTTATTTTGTTTTCATGTTTTCTTTTGGTGGTACGGTAAGTGTTTTATTTAGTTGTTTTTATTTTTGTTTGTTCAGTAAATCTATACTTTTTATATCATATCATCAAAAAAAATATTGGTGCTTTACAAATTTGGGGTTAGTTGGGTTTTGGCTATTTGTAGTGAGTCCTTTTTTACTGCAGTATGGAATAGGGGTAAGTCGCGGGGTAAAGCATAAGTGGCGATGATGTTTGTCTGACGGGATAAACTAGTTATAAATGCTGATCCTCATTGAAACGCCAGTAATAATAGACGCGACTCTGAGGAGATGTTTATTACTTAATCACTACACTAATTATGTTTATGCATTAATGTTTTTTTTCCATTATTAGTCCTTTCATTGTTGTTAGCATATTTTTAATTTGTTGAATGGTTTTTTGTTTTACAAATTTTTGACTGGTTATGTATTTCTTGTATATTTTAGTTCATATTGGTATTTATAAAACAATTTTTTTTTTTATTTTTGAATTTTTTTATTTTTATATATATATTTTTTTTTTTATCATTTATTTTTATTTTTTTTTAATTTTTTTATTGTTATTATTGTTGAGTACTGTTTTGGTTGTATAGCCTGTCTTATTTATTTTTAAATATTCCTCTATTAATCTTTATTTTTGTCTTGACAACTGTCAAAATATGCTTTGTCTAATAAACAATTCTCCTTTATTCTAATGTACTTCATTTCTTCCCTCAGGCGTTCACTGCTCGTGTGTGACCATTCAGCGAATTTTGTATGCCAAAGTTTTTAAATAATTTAGTTCTATGTGGAAAAGCTTTTTGCATCATAGTTATGCAACAAGAAGAACTAAAATTTAACAATTTTTTTAATGCATTTCTTGTTGAAATGAATACGTTGAATTTTTTTCAAACTTGTTTTAAATTTCAAAGTAGGCTAAACATATTTATATATTGTAGGATTCCAATCAGAAGTTTTGTAAACTTAATTGTTGAAAAAGAAATGATTAATTCACTAGGTCAGCGATTCAAAAATGATTATTCGCCTTTCTTCATTGAGCAAACAACTGAAAATTAAAAAGTTTAAACAGTTCGATGAAACTCTCTGTGAAAATGAAAAAAAAAGTCTTTTGTAAGTTTAATTTTTTTTTAAAAATTCATTTTTCATTGTTTTTAATTTAAATATAATCAATATTTTAATTTAAAACTTTAAAACTGTGTTGTTTTTTACTTCCTGTAAACAAGTAAGTTGTTCATGGTTGTCTTATTTTTAAATTTAATCATTTATTTAAAAGATATAAACATATTGTCAGGGATAGTGCAAATCCGCGTAACCAGCATTGGCTACTATATTTGAATATTATTAATTATACCACCAAATATTTATTGTTGAAATTACAAAAAACATGAATAATACTCTTTATACTAAAATGAACCCAAAATCAGTTAAAATAAAAAATATATAAAGTTTTAAACTTCTCCAGTAAAAAAAATGTACTGTAGATACGCAGTTTTATCCAATGCCAGTTACGCGGTTTTGCATTATCCCCGACGATATATAAATGATCGATGTGTATTCTTGTATTATCATGTGTATATATTATTACCATGGTTGCTGAAAGAATCATGATTGTTACCTTGTACCCTGGGTAAGTAAAAAATAACTAAAACTATTGTCAAATTTCAAAAATATTATTTAGGCTCCATAAAAAATCTTTACCCTACACCCTTCCTCCCCCTTCTTCTTAGCACTCATGATTATTATATTGGCATTTATTGATGATTTTTTTAATTTTATTTTTATTTGATGTGCAAATTTCTTGTGTTACTTTTTAGGGTTATGTCAAACGGCGTCATAAGTGTGTACAATTTAAACGGGAAAATGGATAAGCTGTCTTTTCGAAAGACAAATACAATTAAGTTAATCGTCAGTATGTTGTTTTTAATTATTATAAAACTAGATTAACAAATTATAGTAAAAATTCCCAACACTTTTCTAGTTAAATTCTAAAATATGGTTTTATAGCACTGTTAAAATTTGAGTCAGCAGACATAGGTAAATATACTTCACATTAGCCATTTTGCAATTTACAAAAAAAAAAAAATTAATTTTAGAAAAAATAAAATTAGTTAAAATCAGAAAAAAAATAATTAAAGTTAAAAAAATATTATAAAATATTTAAAATGGTTGTAGGAAACAATCATAAATAGTTGTAGGAATCACACATATATTTGCCATATATACATGTATATATGGCAAATTAGTTTATCTACATAAATATTTAAATTAAAATCTAGGTGAGTAACAGTTAAAAATCCAAACAAACTCGGATCACTAAAATCAAAACAAGAATAAAAAACATTACTTTATTCCAAATAACATTTTTGTTATCTTTCTAGAAACTGTTGCAAAGTCAAAAAAGTATACAGAAAAAGATATCGAACATAGTATTGGTGCGACTTTAAAACACGCTTCATTGAGAAAAGGTGGTTTAAAAAACCCAAGTAATGACAACAATTAAAATATCAAGAAATGAAATTTATAAATATGTTCTTTTAATATAGTTTAATCTTTTATAAATATGTTCTTTTAATATAGTTTAATCTTTTATAAATATGTTCTTTTAATATAGTTTAATCTTTTATAAATATGCTCTTTTAATATTGTTTAATCTTTTATAAATATGTTCTTTTAATATTGTTTAATCTTTTATAAATATGTTCTTTTAATATTGTTTAATCTTTTATAAATATGTTCTTTTAATATTGTTTAATCTTTTATAAATATGTTCTTTTAATATTGTTTAATCTTTTATAAATATGTTCTTTTAATATTGTTTAATCTTTTATAAATATGTTCTTTTAATATTGTTTAATCTTTTATAAATATGTTCTTTTAATATTGTTTAATCTTTTATAAATATGTTCTTTTAATATAGTTTAATCTTTTATAAATATGTTCTTTTAATATTGTTTAATCTTTTATAAATATGTTATTTTAATATAGTTTAATCTTTTATAAATATGTTCTTTTAATATTGTTTAATCTTTTATAAATATGTTCTTTTAATATTGTTTAATTTTTTATAAATATGTTCTTTTAATATTGTTTAATCTTTTATAAATATGTTCTTTTAATATTGTTTAATCTTTTATAAATATGTTCTTTTAATATTGTTTAATCTTTTATAAATATGTTCTTTTAATATTGTTTAATCTTTTAATAGTGTTTAAAAAGATTTTTATCTTAATTCTTGTTTTTTATTTTCCAGAAATTAAAATTTTTATAAGAGAAAATCTTAACTGCGTGCAATGCTAGTATAAAACATTTTTTTTTTTTAAACATTATTTTTTTTAAGGGTTAAACCTGAGAAGAAGCAGCTGCTTTTTGATTGCCTTATTATTTTTAAACTAAACTAGTTTGTTAAACATACTAGGTTGTTTACTCCTCTTAAATATTTCTAAAAAACAATACTGTTATTTAAGTTCTTTGTTTGGATTTAATCTGTATTACTTTATTTCAAATTTAATTGACATTTTTAGTGCTTTCAATTTTTTATTAAATTCGGTCTGTAGATATAAGGGGATAGCAAACAAGCAAAATGCTCGTTTATATAGCTTTAACACACAAACGTCGAAAAACGTCGCGAAGGCGCTAATCTCTAGACAGTCTGTTCATAGTCACAAGTCTGGCATCATTATGAGGTCATTATTTGAGGTCAAGTAGAATTACACTTTACGACTATAAAAGGACAGTTAGAATACAACGTCCTTGCAACGTTCGTGTGTTTGCTGGGTAGTTGCGGTTCCCATTTTTGTTCTTCAAATTTTAAAGTTTATCTATTTAGATTAAAATTTTTTTTTTTAATAGCTACTGTAAAAAAACTTGAAACAATACATTGTTGCAATCAAGTCAATGATTATTCTTCTGTTTTTAGAATGACACTAAACACTAGTAATGTAATACAACTTGTAAACATTTAATAGCCACAACAGTCAAAGTGTTTGTAATCCTTTAAAACTATTGTTTCTCTAATGTTTATTACAAAAATTGATATTTTACAAAATATTTGTTTAAAAAAACAAAAACTGAAAAAATCTTTTCTATGTTGACAACTTATAGAATAACACTTTAAATTTATATAACTTATAAAAAAAATTTTAACCTGTTTTACGTTGCTCTTTTGCTTTGAGTTTTTCATCTATTTTTTGACGAAAATGATTGGCTTCTTGTGGATCAGCAAAATTTAGACCAGCAACATAATTCTAAATTCAATCTTAAAATAAATAACTTAGTTGATAAAGATTTATAAAGACTTCAAAAAAATGATATTAAATATTGATTTAAATTTTATCAAAGTATATATAAATTACTAGAAAAAATTACTAAATAATGAATAAGAAAATTTCTCAAACTATTGAAAAATAATAAAACTTATACATTTAAAAAAAAAACTAAATTCATCATTTTATGTGGAAAAGAAAAAAATCAGTGAGAAGTGAAATTACAATTTTTTTATTTTACTTAAGAATTTTAATTTTAGCTGATAACTTTTAACATTTATTTTGTGTGTGTGTGCGTGCGTGTGTGTGTGCGTGTGTGTGTGTGTGTGTGTGTGTGTGTGTGTGTGTGTGTGTGTGTGTGTGTGTGTGTGTGTGTGTGTGTGTGTGTGTGTGTGTGTGTGTGTGAAAAGTCAACTGCCTATGTGCAAGTTTATTGACTTTTTATTATTTATTATTATTGCATATTGACTTTTATTTATGTTTGAGAGAAGCTAATGAACAATTTTTAATAATGATTATAAACAATTTATAAATAAATTTTTGATTGTAATAGTTGATAAAGTTCTTAACAATAATATTGCCTACAGGTCTCACCCAATGTTGATCTGAAATATTTTTAAAAAAATAATCATAAGCACTCTTTAAAAGGATGAAATAAAAATTATCTATTTGAAAAAAAAAATTATCCTTTGTATAATACAATAGGCAACTTTTATTCCTCTTGAATTTATATAGGATTTTCTTTTTTTCTTTGTGCAATTTCTTTTCTAATTATCAGTATTTCTTTTGTGCTTTCAAGTTTTTTTACTTGTTCTTCATCAAAAAGATATTACAATAATATACATTATCAGAACAACAACAGCTACAACAACACTTGAATAATGTTTAATAAGTTTATATTAAATTTTACACAATTATTATTAAATTTTAAACATATTTTTTATTAATTATTTAAAGATAAATTCTTTAAGCACTGTTTTGTTAATAAATAAACAAAATAATCACAGTTCGAGTAGCATTATTTAATTACAAAAAAAGACATTTGTGCAGTTTCGCGGTCTGTTTGGAGATGAACTAGTTTTTTGTAACACTTTATTTGATTGGCTGTTTTGGAGTTAAAACAATTAAGCATAATAAAACAAGTTTAAAAAGTGGAGATAGGACAAAGTGAATTCTAAATTAAAACGTACCAGACACATTATTACACAAATCAACAAAGTAAAAGATTTTGATGTTTAATTGATTGCTTTATAGTTATTTTGATTTTTTACAAAACTGGAGAACAAATAAGTTACTATATGTTAAAAGATTTGGACATATTTCTTTGAATTCCTTTTTTTTTTTCATCTTATTTTCATTATCTGTTACCACGGCAAATACTTCTTTGTTGTATCTTTTCTTAAAATCTTAAACAACATTTACATACTTGATTGTTGTTTTATTTGATGTACAATCAGTTATGCATAAAAGTTTAGACTTAAACCCATCATATGTACTTTGAGCAATAATCAGATCATTTGTAACACTACTCAATCCATTTTGCATAATTATTGTTATCTTTACTTGGTTGATTCATTATTTTATTGTTTACTTTGTTATAAACATTTTTCTAGCTCTTCTTAGAATATATTATGGTTAGTTGGGTTATATTTGGTCATGTCTATATACTCTTGATTTTGAGAAGTTTTAAATAGTAAATTTGCATTGAAGTAAAAATTTACTATTTTTATATCAATATTTTTTCCCGTTTCATATTTAGATATTGTGTATGATGACATCAACTGTTGCCTCTTACAAGGTGTTGATAACTAACAGATGCTAAAGAATTTGTTCCAACTTGAGATGATAATCTATCTATCAGAGCAGATCTATCTATCAGAGCAATTTTTGTTCAAATACTTTGATTGTTGCCTGTGCACTTGTCTGAAAAGTTCTTTTAGCAATGTTTTAAAAGGGACTTTACTTGTATTATCTTGTTTTTAAACAGAGCATGACAACAGATATAATAAATCTTTGAACTAAATAAACCAAAATTATATAAAAATTTCAAAAGTAATCATTTTATCAAAATATTATTATTTTAGATTTTATTGCAAAAAAACTATTGTTTTTTGAAATTTTTTTAAAAAACTTAATAGTTTTTTAAATTGAATAAACATTTTTTTATAAAATATTTTTCAAACCTTTATAAAATTTCGCTTCTTTTGAGTACCAGGTTAACCTTTTAAAAAAACATTTTTTTCAAAGATCAATCAAATCACAAAGGCCATGTGGCATCCCTAAAAAACTTTAGTTCATTTTATTATACTTTATAGGGCACTTACAAAGGATATAAAAAGACATTTTTTTTTTAAAAAAAAAAAAAGCTGTTTTGAACATTTT